CCATGAATACGTTTCAAGCATGTGGAGCGGAAAGCCCTCGGCCACCTGCGTCCCCGTGAACATCCCACCCAAGATCAAGGGGCACGTGGAGAACATCCTCGCCAGGTTCCAGGGGACCCGGTCCAAGATTCCGGCCGCCAAGCTCCTGCCGGCGAGGTCCATCACCTCCCTGCGGGAGACGGTCGAGGTCCGCCCCTACCTGGTCATCAGCCCTGCCGACCTGGCAACGCTGGTAAACGCTCTCTTCCCGGAGAAGCGGCCCCACTCGGCGCGTTCCGGCCCAGCCTCCATCTCCGGGCTGTCGGCCATTTCCCAGCCCATCTCCATGTCCAACCACCACAAGAACAGCTTCGACACGGCCTCCATCATCAGCACCAGTGCCTCGTCTATCTTGAGCGACGCCACCACGTCTCGCGACTTCATCTACGACCTCAACACGGCGACCCCGCGCTACTCTCCTCCTGCCGAAGACCCGGAGGAGCAGCGGCGCTTGAGCAAGTACGAGGATGATGGCTATCGTCTCAGGCTGGCCATCCATGAGATGCAGCAAAACCTGGGCGCGGACGTCGTCCGTGGATCCAGCCACCCATGCGCCGAGAGATGGGTTGTCCTCTTCATTTCCCCAGACGGAAAGAGCCTCTCGACGCAGATGACGTACGATCCGGACGATGAGCTCGAGGATGAGGAAAACTCGTCCAGCACAGACACCGACGAGGACGAGACGCCGCAACGCCCTGAGCTGGACAAGGACTATCATCAGCTGCGCAACTCCGTCCTCAAGCTGGTGGAAGACTATGAGATCCCTCGCAGCCTGGAGCCCGAGCGCGGACGAGCCCAGCTCAGCAATCGCGCTTCGGGTCTGAGAAAGTACACGTCGAGGAACAGAATCATCCAGCCGGAGAAGACGGTTTCCAGCCGAAACCCTTACCGGAAGCAAATGGGCGTCGACGGCACAATCTCCACCACCGACCTGACGCCGAAGGAGCCCGAGGAGTCCGAGCCTGTCTTGATCACAATGCTGAAGGCGGCTTCGTCCCAGTCAAAGGCCCAGGCCGACTTCGTCTCTGCCCACATGTACTGGAAGACGCTGAACCAGCTGACGGCGCTGGCCTCGAGCTCTCTCCGGCAGGACGGATTCGCCGCTTTGATCAACATCTTGGCTAGGGGACCCCGCGATGCCATCCGCCGCTCTGCATCTGCCATCGAAGAGTACGATGCCTGGCTTGTCTGGCTGAAGCAGAGCCAGGAGCGCCACGAAGGCCTGATCGACACCATGATGAAGCGCGTCAATGCCATCCGCGACAAGATGTGGTATGTGACCGACGTCCGCAATTCCAAGGAATATGCGCACAGCCGTGACATCTGTCAGGCTCTCAAGACCATGGGTATGCCGCGTCGTTGGAGCTCGTTTCAGCGCTCAAGGGCTCACAACAACCGCGGTCCTAGTTCCTCCTACCTCTACCGCACCGAGTCGCAGATTATGGACCTCTTGGCCGCTTCGGAGGAGCAAGGCGGGCCGAACAAGCTTAGCGATGATCAGGCAGAAATGACCTCCATGTGGCTGCACCAGTATGGGATTGAAAACTTCTGCCAGGGAGAGGAGAGGATCCACCGCTTCTGCTGCGAGGTGGACCGATGCATCTCCAAGCTCGTGGGAGAAACCCTTCGCGAGGCGCCAGTGCTGTGGTCGAGCGAGCTCTACAAGCGAGACAAGCTGGTCCATGACCGTAGCAAGGCACGAGACCGTGATCACTCCTGGGGCGGCGACGACTCGACTAGCATCATCAGCGAGCAGGACAGGCGCCATACGTCGTCGTCATCTGGGAGATCCAGCTCGTTTGCCTCGCGCGATCTGAGATCCATGACGAGCAACAACACCAGCCACCACTCTCTGGACTCGTCGAGGCACAGCCATTCGAGGCCTGGTGGCATGCTGGCCGACATCCCCGATGGGCCAGAATACTTTGACAAGGCGTCGCCTGTCGATTCGTCAGGCACGTTCTGGTCGCCATTCCAACCTGCCATGTCTACCAGCTCGGCCCCCTCGCGATACTCGCCTACCACCAGTCTTACCAACGTGTCGACTACCTTTTCGGCCCCTCAGCATCACACGATTCCCTCCATCACGAGTGTCTCCACTGGTCGGCCAAGCACGGCGGCGTCGTCCAATGACACCATCCAGCAGCATCGCAACGACGATGAAAAGACGCGATTCTTGAACGAGCTTAAGCAGACTCTAACCAGCTTGTTGCTCTCTGACTTGGGCAATCAAGTGTTGGCACGGGGATCGGAGACTGATGGCTGGTTCCAAAAGCTCGGGCAACAATGCATCGACAGGAAGGACGCCCTCGAGAGGCGAGCTGCTCGCCGGAAATCTGACAAGAAGTCGATGCAAAAGCCGGGGTTGGCTAGGCCGAGAGGGCTCGAGAAGAAGAGGAGCTTTGGAAACCTCAGGAACGCAGGTGACAACACTGCGGACAGAATGTCGGAGCCCTCTGAGAACAGCCCCGTGGCTTCTCCAGAGTCTCCCATGCCTGCGACTATCGATCCGCCGCCAGCGCCGCCCAAAGACACGTCCAACGAGTTTCCTTTCAAGAAGGCTTACCAGCGTCTTCTCAACATGTTTTGTGTCCATCCCAACCCGTATGCCAAGCTGAATGCTCTCAACGAGCTGGAGCAGCTCATCATCGCCTCCATGATGTCGAGCGGCCCCAAGAGGGGGCGATGGAACAGATCCGATGCAGGCTCGAGCATCGTGGAAGACCACAGCTCCACCAGTCGTCCTACTCCGCTGGAGGGCATGATTGACAACGTCAAGGAGCGCCGACTGCAAGCTCTTCAGTCTGGCCTTCCGACGACTGGGTTTTCCTTCACATCCCGCGGCTCCAACTCGGAGACGCGGTCCATTGTGTCTGGTGGTGCCTCCAACTCGGACCTCATCACAAAGGAGCTGTACACTCTCTTCCGAGACGCATCGATTCGACCAAAGTCGCTCTTCCGTGACCTGCAGTTCATCGCTGCCTTTGTCCCCGCCTCTGTCCTGGACAGGCCGGAGAAGGGCAAGGCGTTCTGGAACACTGGGCTCGCGGCCCTGAAGCTGAAATCGGAGGTGTGTCGAACCATGGTGGAGATGGCAGACGAGGTGATTGCGGCCCATTCGCATGCCCGCCAGTCCTCTACGGACAACGCCACTCCCCTCGACACGCCTCAGTCAACGACCGGTACCCCCCCGCCCCCATCCACTACATATGGACTAAACGATGTTGGCAAGATGTGGACAATTACGGCTAAAGAAGGCTATCCCACGGCGCAGCGTGAGCTGGCCTTGTTCTACCTATCTAACCCCGAATACGTTGAAAGAACAACGCTTCCCTTGTCCAAGCCGAGGGAGGTGTTTAAGCAAACAGTCATGGAGAAGTATGGCCGCACCAGGGGCGGCCTCGGCGGCTCCGGCACAGGCGGTCTCGGCAGTGTAGGTGTCTCTTCGAGAGGGCCGGGCGCCGGCAATGGCGGCTCTGGTGATGGGCAGCTCTCCGGTGGCAACGAAGGTGATGTTAGAACTGATCCAGGTTTGATGTGCGTCGCTGTCCACTGGATGGAAGCGGCAGAGCAGGGCGGCGACGAGCTTGCTTCGAGCTTCCTGCGACAAAACGAGTTTATGGGACTTGGTTGATTGGGAATCCGCACGGTATTCGTATCCGGTGGCCAAGCCGGGCGCGAAAGAACCATGCTTGGCCATCGTCCACCCGATGATTTTCTCCTTTTCTCTTTTTTATATCTCCATTCTCGGCGGTTGCGCTCATGCATAGGCGACACAGATGCATCCTTCAACGGGGCATCCTTTTACCACATTCCCTTTGTCGTCTCTTATCAATCTGATCTTGACGCGTCATGACACAATCAAATGGAACCGGGCAACGCGAGTATGAGTTCACGACATGGTATGATGGCATCTATAACGATCTCAAGCCTTTTCTTCTTCTCTTCATTCAGAGGATGATTTGCATCTGGACCATGAACCAACCGAACAAAAAAAAGATGAATCCTTTTCTTATACCCTCTTTCATCTTGCTTCCTTTTCGGTCGGTATAGAACATGAGGGAACAGCGGGCTAGCTGGCTGGCTCCTCTGATTTTATGATACCATCAGTAACGGGCGAAAAACGGGATTTGGTTCACTTTATCTTTATCTCATTTTAAATCATGTGCAACGCCTGCCTTTCAGTTCATTAGATAGACGGACACCCACGATCCTTGAGCTTTTGCTTTCTTGTTTTCCTGGTGCTTTGGTTCCAAGCTTTTGAGGAGGACTTTGGGTTTGAACACACGAGGTGCGTTGTGGCGGAGGATATACCTTGAGTTACAAAAAATCATGTTGGACGGCACTTATGTAGCATTTGCACTGGCTCTTTTAGAATAGGAGAAGAGAAAATGCATTGAAAATGAGGTGAATCGAGCTGGGCATTGGCGCGAGTTCTTGATGCTGGATTGTCTGTATGGCTTCATAGTTGCACCAAGGTCAACTCATAAGATCCTGAGACCTGCCAAGCTGGGATATTCGCTTTGATAAATGCCCGGATAGGTGCATGTGCAACAGGCTCCCGTCGCGCAATTGGCCAATCAACGGCAGTGATTCAGTGGAGAGTCGAGCTGAGCGGCAGGCAGCAGGCGCCAAGGATCCAATTCAGCTGGCAGGGGCCGCTGTGGGAGATGCCCGAATGCCTCGAGTGCCTTGGGCTTGATATCATTATATAAACAAACAATTGCATTGATTCACTTGAGCGTCTTTCCTTGCCTTTTCTTTCTTCTCATTGTTCCTCAGTCTTTTTCAACCTCCCTCTACTCAAGATCCTTCACGTCTGCCTCGCCATTCACCTCGTCTTATCAGTCTCACTGCTCTCTCTATCTTACGGCCACTCACGGCAACAGCTTCACTCCTTTCATCAACCGCTCAAGATATCTCTCTTCAGCAGACCTTCCACATAAACAGAAGCCAGCCTCATGTCTTTGCCTAGCGGAAACACCCAGACCTGTGGTCTCCTCAAGGTCCCTCCAGAGATCCTCGACAGAATAACGTGGCATCTCACCACGACCGAGTACTGCAACCTGCGCCTGGCAAGCAAGGCCATCGAACAGGCCGTCTTCTTCAAATTCACCTCCGAGTTCTTCACGCGGAAACAGTTCATGGTCTCCGAGTTTAGCCTCAGAGCGCTCATAGACATCTCCAAGAGCCGCCTGGCGGGATGCTTGCGCCACGTTCACTTGGGGCTTGATCAGCTTGCCCCAGCGAGGGGTTTCGCGGATACGGATTTACAGGAGACTATCGAGGCCATGCGCATGCACCTGTTGCGCTTGACTGAGCAGGAGACTCTTTGGACGCTTGGCCTGGTCCCCAAGTACTTGGCTGAGGCTTTTGCCCACCTCCCCAAGCTGGAGACTTGCGTTATCCGTGATTTCAACTCCTCCAGAAGATCTCGGGATGGCCCCTTTTGCCAGTGGCGGAGCTACGGCAGCCCAACCCTGTACAAAGAAACCAAGATGCACCCTATGCCTCAGCTAGGGTACCCGGACTATGTAGACCGCCTGTTCAAGGCCGTCGTCCACGGGCTGGCCATGGCGCAAGCCAGGCCAACAGCCATTGAAGTGATGGAGAGACATGACCACCTGCTACATGACTCTGCGTTCCATATCCACCCGGATTCTGAAGCCGCCGTCGCGCCTGTTCTCGGACGACTCAAAAGGCTGCACCTCTCCCTTGACAAGGCCCGGACCCCCATCCACCTGGCACGTCCTTCACAAGCATATCACCATACCCATCTGGCCAGGTTCCTGAGGGGTTGCGAGGACTTGGAGGAGCTCCGAATCAACGGAAGGCGTGACTTTGACACCAGGGGCGAGAGCAGCACTCAGCGTCACCTGTTCGACTGGCTCGCAACGAAGCCTCAGACAAAGGCCTCGGCGTCATCGTTGGCTGGCGGAGAATCAACTGGTCAATTGCCGCAGGATCCAGCACTGCCTGGCAATGACAGTACTGTTCCCCCCGCCGCAAAGCTCGCGCGATTAAAGATCCTCAGCCTGGGGATGACGACCTTTACCGTCGAGAATCTCGTGCGTCTGATTGCCAGGTTTGCCGACACGCTCGAGAGCCTCGACCTATGGAGGATTGATGTCGTGTCTGAAAACAAGGCAGACGACGATTTGCTAGCGGAGAATGGGACTATTTTGTACGCTCGCCTCCTGCGGGAGCTGCTCAACCTTCCAAACCTGAATCTACGGCATATCAAGCTGGGCAAGGTCCATCAGAGACTGCATCCCACCCGCAACGCGCCGATCACGCAGGAAATCAAGTTCAAGCCTGAAGCGAGCACGCGCGACGAAGATGTGGACAAGGGGCTTGTGCGAGGGGCATTTGAATTGGAATATACGGGCTCAGACTGGAGGCATTTTGTTTCCCACGAGATGATACCTCGGTTGTACACGTTTCGGAGTAAAGGTACGCAGTTCAAAGTCCGAGCTGCCAGGGTGGCAAGCGGGCTTTTTCCCTCTTTTAACCTGTTTTGCTAACATTATTTAGTAGTGCCATCACAGGAGGAGATGGAGCTGGATATAGATGAGCGCGATGAGGAAGGCGAGGATGATAATGAGGACGATGATGATGACGAGGACAATGACGAATGATGTATGAATAATGCCAAGCTTGTGAAGGGAATCTACAGATTCGAGACTGGACTTTGTAAGAACTCGTTATTTTAGCCTTGAGACGGCTTACTTAGGTCTGATAACAGAAGCAATTTATCATTGGATTGATCTCATTGAGAGCTTTCGATTCAAAGAGCAATGGAGATGATTCGAAGAATGCCGAGAAGGGCATGGTGATTTGTTTGCTGCTGCTTTTTCCTGCTTTTTCTTCTTTTTGATTTTTCCATCTTTCGTATGGGCATGTGGAAGACTACCTACATGAGGGTTAATAAAGGGGCGCGTGGCGGAACTGGACGCGAACCTTGTGTCCAGCACCTTTCCAATTCCTCTACTTCAACCTCGAAGCGAGATGGGGCCGTCTGTTTTGTTTAGATTAGTTACCTGGGAAAGTAACCGCTCCATTACTCAAACGATGTACACGAAACTCTCTCTGTGTCTTGTACAAGGCCGGTTATGGCTCTCAGCCCCTGGAAATCCTTTCCGCTCAGAGGGGGGTTTGATTCTCTCCGGCTCGGTAGATAAAATGGATGAAGAGTTCGTTTAATGTGTGCCAGTGTGTCGCTCTTTTTTGTGATTGGCTTGACAACTCGGCGAGATGGCTTGTGGCTTGGAACTCGGTGAGTTGTTGGCTGTATTGATCGTAGAGGGGGGCGCCGCTCGAGTATTAGACTCTAAGCGAATAAATAAGCTTATATTTTGACATCATGCGTAAAATAAGTCCCCTACTACATCCGATGACTCCGGTCGTCGTCGGCTATTCTTTGAATCTCATGTAGGCTCCTCAGCGAACATGAGATCACCCCTTTCTGCCTGCCCATCTCTGCCTCCATTTTCCTCCATTATTCCTCCATTATTCCTCATTCGCAGTAACAATTTCGAGACAAGAACGCAAAAAGAGGCGGACAGTCGAACATCAAACGAAATGTCTTGCTTCATCTTCCTCGTCTTCGTCCTTCTCCTTCAAATGGGCACTGCCCCCCTCGCCGCCGCCCTCAGTCTCCCAGAGCTTTCCCAAGCACCACCGCCGCCGGGGCAGCTGCTCCATACCACCATCCCGGGACTGCCAGGATGGGGCGGCAATGACACGACGTCGACGACGGGAGACGGGGATGAGGTGCACTGGCTTCCGGGGCAGCCTGCGCCTACCAACGACGTGGTGTTCTCGTGGTGCCGGAAGGGGGTGAGCGGTTGTAATAGGGCGGCGCTCAAGCATGGGCGGTGCTGTAAGTCGCTTGATTCTTTCGTCACTGTAATGGGGGGGTTTGGGACTGACATGTGTATGTTGTTTTAGATGATTTGAGCATGTTGGATGGCTCGATTAGGGCGCAGTTGAGTAGCGTTGGGGCGCAAGATGGGAGGTGCATGCTGTTCCAGTGAGTTCAATGCCTCTGATACTCTTGTTCTGTCGCGGTGTTCTCTCATGGTTACCCTGCATTGCTATTGCTCCCTTGCCCTTTTCCTCCTCCTTTCCTAACTTGTCCCTCATAAATCTACAATCCACCATCTCCGGCAAGTCCACTGACAAGCTTCATGAAGAAACTACGACTGCAGCGGCGAGCACACGGCCATGTTCTCCGGGCGAAGCCTCTGGACAAAGACCATCTGCGCCACCAACTCCAAGAGCAAGAGCAAGAGCAAGAGCAGCAGGGTCAAGTGGAATGCGCAGGCGGCGGCCGTGCGGTGCTGCGCCGGCGAGCCGGGGAGCGGGTGGTGTAACTTTGGGATGAAGAAGCCGGATCGGTGCACCAAGGGGTGATGTCCTGGATGGGGGATTCTTTGGTGTTTTGGGGAAGGGGGGGCATGTTTTGTACTTTATTGTTGGAGTCTCAAGCGTTGGGCAATTCCCATGGATGGTTTATGACTGGCAATTTGATGCAATGTGCAATTGTCATGGCTATCTACTAGGTAGGCAGTCCCCCAGTGTCAATTGACTCTTTTGACAATGTCTTGGTGAGATACCATGTATACAGTTGTTGAGCGAGAGCACACCCGACGATACCCTCAACCGAGGAGGCACCAGACAGCGTTAGTCATCCACCCAAGCATCCCCATAAATCCAGGCAGCAAAGGCACTCCAGGCCGAACCACGTGACGCCGCGTCCATCTCGCGCAACCAGCCACCCACCAAGATTTCCCGAGGTCTTCTTTCAGCGACCGGGGCGCGCTGGTGCCTGGAAGCCAGCGCACTAAGAATTGGGCGCCAGGGGTCTCCAGCGGCTTTTAGTGGGCTGCAGCAGCTGAAAGCTCCACTGGGGGCTAGGCAGCTCTGGGGCAACTGGAGCTTCTCGAGCTGGTTGTAGTACAAGTACGAGTTAGCTGGGAGATTGATGTTCTCGATCCGAGCTGAGCTGAGCTGTGGGAAAAAAAAGGTATTAAAGAGGTCTGTTGCTTGTTCTTGAGCATCGAGTTGGTCTTCGTCCTTCTTCATGGTTTGATTCTTCACATTGAGTATGCCATCAATTGAGGCTTGACGACACATCATTCTGCCATTCTTTGCCGCGTTGCATCCAATTGACTCGAGTCCTGCCCTGAAGCATTCATTCATACCACTCTCTCCATCAACCCTTGGCCAGCTATCGAGGTGTCACGGCTAACGACGCCACACCTACAGCGAGCCCAGGAGGCAGTAACTCGTGCCTCTGTCCATTCGTCTCCCATCTCGCCTCCCAATTTCCCCCATCGCAACCCTCCCATCATGCCCCGGAGAAAGGCTGCTGCGGCTCCCGCCGTCTCGCCGCTGGACGGCTGCGTTGTCGCCATGAGCGGCAAGTTCGACGCCTCCAAGCACACCCACGCCTCTCTCGAGCAGCTCATCAGGTCCCTGGGCGGCAGCGTCACCAAGAGCGTTGCCAAAACCACAACCCACGTCGTCTGCTCCGAGGACGACTACAATAGCAACTCGGCAAAGGTCGCTGCTGGCAGGGCCAAGGACTTGCCCGTGGTCAGTCCGGAGTGGATCTTTGAGGCTGAGAAGCTGAACAAGACGGTCGATCCTCAGCCGTACGTCTGGGGCAGCGACAAAGCTGCCGACCCACAAGCCAATGGCAAGAAGCGGCCCATCATGGTGTCCAAGAGCGATGAGGAGGAGGAGGAGGAGCCCGAGCCCAAGAAGGCCAAGACCAACGGCTCCAAGGCGGCCAAAGGGGCAAAGGGCAAGGCAAAGGCCGATGCTGAGCCTGAACCCGAGCCCGAGGCCGAGGAGATCAAGGAGGAGAAGCAGGTCGCCGAGGGCCAGTTCATCAAGAAGAAGGATGCGGCCATCCCGGTTGACGAGTACTGCCCGATGGTCAACCAACAGGTGCACATTGACGCTGACACTGGGCTGATATACGATGCTTCTCTCAACCAGACGAACGCATCCCACAACAACAACAAGTTCTACCGCATCCAGGTGAGTGGAAGTTGCTTTCTCGGTTTGCGTGGGATTGCCGGTCCAGTACTGATGCCAGGCTGCCCCAGGTCTTATATGACGGCAAGTCAAAGCAGTACAAGACATGGACGCGCTGGGGCCGTGTTGGAGAGGTCGGGCAAAGTGCCCTTCTCGGCAACGGCAAGGTCGAAGACGCAATCAAGCAGTTTGAGAAAAAGTTCAAGGACAAGTCTGGCCTATCCTGGGAAAACAGGGGCGAGAACCCGAAGCCGGGAAAGTATGCATTCGTCGAGCGAAGCTACAATCCAGACTCGGACGATGAAGACGACAACGAAGCTGATGACAAGGCCGTCAAGAAGGAGGAGGACGACGAGGAAGAGGTCAAGCCGGCAGAGTGCACTCTTGAGCCCCAAGTCAAGTCCCTCATGGAGCTCATCTTCAACCAGCAGTACTTCCAGGCCACCATGACTGCCCTGAACTACGACGCGAACAAGCTCCCTCTGGGAAAGCTGAGCAAAGCCACCATTACGCGCGGTTTCCAGCAGCTCAAGGACCTCGCGGCCCTGATGGATGATGCTACGCTGGCGGCGAGCAGATGGAACACGACGGTGGCCCAGGCCACGGAGATGCTGTCCAACATGTACTACTCCATCATTCCGCATGCCTTTGGCCGCAACCGCCCCCCCGTCATCCGAGACAACGTGATGCTCAAGAAGGAGATTGAGCTGCTGGAGAGCTTGTCCGACATGAAGGACGCAGCAGACATTATGAAGATTGACCGCAAGTCAACGGACAGCATCCACCCCCTCGACAAGCAGTTCCAGAGCCTGGGCCTCAACGAGATGACGGTCCTCGACCACGCCAGCAGCGAGTTCGAGCACCTCGAGGCCTACCTGCACGGCTCCCGCGGCGAGACCCACGGCCACAGCTACAAGGTCCAGGACATCTTCCGCATCGAGCGGCAGGGCGAGAACGTGCGCTTCGACGAGTACGTCGAGAAGAGCAAGATTGGCCAGAACAGGCGCCTGCTGTGGCACGGCTCGCGCGCGACCAACTTTGGCGGCATCCTCAGCCAGGGCTTGCGCATCGCGCCTCCGGAGGCGCCCGTCTCGGGGTACATGTTCGGCAAGGGCATCTACCTCGCCGACATGTCGTCCAAGTCGGCCAACTACTGCTGCTCGTACATCTCGGGCGGCCAGGCGCTGCTGCTGCTCTGCGAGGCCAAGCTGGGCGATCCCATGCAGCAGCTGACCAACGCGAGCTACGACGCCGGCAGCAGCGCCAAGAGGGGCGGCATGGAGAGCACCTGGGGCGTGGGCATGACGGCGCCGCCCAAGTGGATGGACGCTGGGGTTGTGCACGAGAGCCTCAAGGGCATCCAGATGGTGAGTTTTTTCTTTTCGTCTTTGATTGTGAAATTCTTCGTCTGTATGAGGCAGGGCCGGCTGACATTTTTTGTCTTTTGATATAGCCCGATATAAGCGAAAAGCCGTGTGCGACGAATGTAGACGGCGCGTATCTGATGTACAATGAGTTCATCTGCTACGATGTCGCCCAGGTGAAGCTGCGGTATCTCTTCCGCGTCCAGATGTAGAGGGTCAAGCCTGTTATACTCTGCTTTCCATGTTCTACTAATGATGAGATGTCGATGATTTATGGGGTATCATTTGGCCTGATGTCAGCCATCACGGAGTTCAGGGGCGGCCTCTTGTGTACAATACTGGTTTTGCTAATGTGTCCATATTACCTTTAATGACGAGATGAATAAACCTATATTACACTTTGCTTTTCCCGTACTACTCATACACACATACACACATGCCCATCACATCATGATGATACATTCCAGCTCCAAACTTAGTCACCGAGAGGATACGCGTGCAAGACCTGTCCGTAATACAGCTCCGCGTCCTTGGACGCCAAAAAGATGAAGCTGGGCGCAATCTCGCTCGGCTGGCCCGGCCGGCCGATGCCCGACTTCTTGCCAAACCCTTCCATCTGCTCCGCGGGGCGCGAGGCCGGCTGGAGGGGCGTGTGGACGGGGCCCGGGGCGACGGCGTTGACGCGGATGCCCTTTGGCATGAGCTGCTTGGCGAGGGACGTGGTGAAGGAGGTGATGGCGCCCTTTGTGGAGGCGTAGTCGACCATGGCGGCTGTGCCGCGGAAGGCGACGGTGGAGGTTGTGTTGATGATGCTATTCATAGAGGTTTAGTTACCCAGTGTCGTTTGATTGTGAAGAGAGATTGTGAGAAGGGGGGATTAACTCACGAGGCACCCTTCTCCATATGCGGCACCGCATACTTTGTCATGGCAAACATCTGCAGGATGTTGCTCCTAAAGGTGCTCTCCACGACGTCCAGGTCAATCTTTGCAATGTCGTCGCACATGACCTGTTTCGAGGCGTTGTTGACGAGCACGTGCAGCGCGCCAAAGGTCTGCATGTGCTGCTCGACGGCCTTGCGGCACGTCTCGTTGTCCATGAGGTTGCCCGGGACGAGGAGGCACTTGCGGCCCTCCTGCTCGACGAGCTTCTTTGTCTCTTCGGCGTCGGGCTGCTCTTCGGGGAGGTAGACTATGGTGACGTCGGAGCCTTCGCGGGCGAAGAGGACGGCGACGGAGCGGCCTATGCCGGAGCTGCAATTTGCACGTCAGTGGGCGTGTTTGAAAGTTTCATGTCTTTGTAGCTGGGGCTGGCGTACTCTCCGCCTGTGATGAGGGCCTTGTTGCCCTTGAGCTTGCCGGCGGCAATGTATTCCTGGTGGCCGTGCTTGCCCTCGAGAGCGGTTGCTTCACTGGTGGGCTTCATGTTCTTCTCCAAGCTGTGTCGCAAGGAAGGATATATATATGTCAGTCAAACTGACTTCTTCGTAGGTAAAGAGCTGTGCACCCAAAAGTGAGTTTACTTACCCAGGAAGATCCTGTGCCTGAGGCTCCTCGACGGGCTTGAAGCTCCCAGACTCGCTGCGCGACATTGCGAAGGATCTGGCGGTACTTCTCGTAGCTCGGGTGTAGTCGAATCTTGGTGCAGGGGAAGAATTGTGTGATGCAAGACGGATGCTGGTGCACTGCAGTTGGCGGGTGGAAATGGGAACGAGACGTCGGAGAGAATAAGCACGAGCACCGATCATGATTTTTATTTATTTCATCTACGTTAATCGATAACAAAGGCAACAAGTGAAAAAAAAGCAGGTTGCACGTGTCGAGAGAAAACTGGAAAGCTGTATTAAATTGCCTTCTCTTCTATGTATCAATGGTGGTGAATCTTCTTCGCTGACGGGGGTTTGCGTTTTGGTGATGTCACTGCGAGCCTTTGTGGTTGATGGAGCATGACATCAATCTTGGCGAACGGGCGGACGTCGATGATGCTTCAACTGCTTCGAGGTCCCACTGTGTAAGACTGAGGAAGCAGGATCCTTTTCATTGCCAAGATTGTCTCGCAGTCAAGACGTCAGCCTTGTTTCATGAGACGAGGAGCGGGTAAACCTCATGGCAAGCTCCGATGATTGACGACGCTAAGATGAGTTTAATCGCGATGATCCTGAATCATTCTTGGAACGATTGAGAGCAACTACCTATACTCGAGCTATTGCTTCCATGCACCTCTTCAATTGATGGCTGATTGTTTGATTATAGGTATCTTCATAGCTGAATAACAGTTATTTAAAAAGTTTGATTGTGATTGCTTCACCAGAATTGGGTCAATAGTCGTACAGCAGACAAGAATGAAATGATTACATGTCATTCGCACCTCAGCTGCATTCCAGTCATGTTGCGAGCGATTGGAGGTGCATGATAGCTACAGGATCCTGCAATCTGAAGCTGATCAACACATAGTATCACTCAGTAGAATCATGATAATTATCATCATCTTCTGTTATCAACGGATATAATGTACAGGATATGAAAGGTACGTTCGATCTGTTTCATTCATTCATTCATTATTACAAGGCACTAATTTATAGTCCCGCCGCAAGCGTGTGTCCGCCATCCACAACCACCCTCTGCCCATTCACAAACTGGTTGCCCGCCAAAAACAGCACCGCCTGCGCCATGTCCTCGTCCTTGCCCGGCCGGTTCGCCGGGATCTTGCCCTCGTACTGGCTCTTGTCAATCTTGCTCTTCTGGCCCTGGTCGCTGCCCTCCGTCGTCATCTCGCTGGGGAAGACGCCCGGGGCGATGCTGTTGACGCGGATCTTGAGGCCCGCCGCGGAGAAGTCGGCCGCCATCATGCGCGTGAGGTGCTCCGTCGCGCCCTTGGACGCGTTGTAGCTGAAGTGGTGCTGGCTGGTCTTGACGAGGCCCGAGATGGAGCTGATGTTGATGACCGTGGCCGACCAGCCGGGGTGCGTCTCGGTCGACTTCTGCAGCAGCGGCAACAGAGCGGCCGTGGTAAAGTACACGGCCGCAACGTTTGTCCGGTACACGTTCAGCCAGTCGTCAAACGTCGCCTTTTCGTTGTCAAACAGCTCCTTCTTGAGCTCCTCGGCCGAGTTGGCCTCGGCAACGCTAAACGTCTCGCCGCTGATGCCAGCGTTGTTGACGAGGATGCAAAGGCACTTTTCGCGCTTCTGAAGCTCGTCGACAAGCGACTTGATGCCCTCCTTGGAGTTGATGTCCGCCTGGATGGGGATGATTTCGCCGGGCGCGTTGGAGCCGTGCGTCGAGGCGGCGGTGTCGAGCTTCTCCTTGGTGCGGCCGCAGATGTAGACTTTGGCGCCGTTGGCGGCGAGGGCTTGGGCGGCCATCAGACCAATTCCAGAGCCTCCTCCTGCAAATGTGTTAAGACATGCTTCTTTCATTGGGGAGAGAATATGGGCAGAGGCGACGAACCTGTGACGAGGGCGACCTTGCCGGAGAGGTCGAAGAGAGCCTGTCCCTTGAGAGCTGTGGTGCTGGCCATGGTGACGATTGAGTTGTGTGAGATTCGTGTGAAAATGAGTTGATTTGTTGCAAACAAATTCGTGTATGATGTGTTGATGTTCAATTGTTTACTGTGGAAGAATTCATGAGTTGTCGAGGTGCCGCCGTCTTATATAAGTTTCCTCAGAGCTTTGATGCGAGCAAGACGTCATACACCCCGACTTTCACGGGGCATGGATTGACGGGCGGCCAAGAGCCACCCGGGTGGCAACTTGCAATTCCCAGCAGACAACTGCCAAAGATATCATCATACAGCCTGCCTCATTACGTTGTGGTGGTGCAATCGCCCCGGTGAGCATCGGGGAGGCTGCGGGCGCTAGTCCAGCCGGTGAGGGCATAGCAAGGTCACTATCGCGGTTAACTATCAAGGTACTATATTCATGTTCACAACAGTGGCAACGAGAGTATTGCTTCGTATTACAATAAAGCCGGCTGTGCGACTGTATTGTATAATATGACGAATCTTCTTCTTTCTAGATGCTTCCTCTGAATATCAGGAAATGTCATTCAACTGATCGAGGTGCTTCCAGGATGATGGCTTTGATATATGCATCCAGCCTCGGTGCATCTTCACGATGTATAGCCATATATTAACAAAACTGCGTGGGTAATTAATCTGTCAAAAATTTTGAAAAGAAAAGAGGCTGAAATTTGAGCAAAGCAGAAAAGCTACATTTCCTCAACGAAAGCAAGAAAAATGGACCAACACAGGCATTGAATATGTTTCTTTCTTTGCTATCCAATATTCACATGTAAATCTGTGACATATATACACATATATACACCATCTCCCTCTCCCTCCTATACATACACGACCCCTTTTCCCCCTATTTGGTTCTCCTTACGACTGGACAAACTTGAACCCAGCAGCCGAAGCCTCAGTGGCCCCGTTGTTGATCAGCGATCCGTCCGACGCAAGCGTCACCCACTTGCCGTTGCTCCCAGCCTTGATGGTGTACACGCCCGCCGCGGCGCCGACCTTTTGGCGGATGGTAAACACCTCCCAGGAAGAGGCCGTGGCGCGGGCCGCCTGCAGCGCAAAGTTGCCCGACTGGTCGGCCGTGACGAACTGGTTGTTGCTCGTCAGCTTGAGGTTGCCCGCGTTGGGCGTGTACGAGCTGACGAAGACGCTGGCGTTGGCCTGCGAGCCCGAGGCCACGAGGTTGGACGAGGCCGACGACGCCACCACCCACTGGCCCGTCGTGGCCGACTGGATCTTGAAGTTGCCGTACGGGTTCTGCGGGAAGTTGGAGCCGCAGATGGGCTGGCCGCTGGGGTTGGGGCGGGTGCCGATGAAGAAGAGCTCGTTGGAGAAGGTGTTGCCGGAGCCTGTTGGATGATTAGCATCGAAAAATGTCTTCATAACAACCTTGCTTGGTAGATGATGGGCTTACCCCAGGTGGTCAGGTTGGCGCTCCAGGCGGCGGCAGTCTGCGGGTTGGCGTTGGAGTAGGCGGCAATCATGACGGAGCGCCTAGGTCGAGAGAGGGTCAGTATCAAGAGGCGATGAGCTACATCGGAGACGAAAAACATACCAGTCATCAGCAATGGACGGGTCGACAATCTCGTTCTGGGCATACGACCAGACATTGTTGACCCACTGGGCATCGTACAGGACCTCGTTGATGGGCGTGACGGGCAGCATCTGGATGGCCGCAATCTCGCTCTTCTGGTTGCCCCAGAACAGCCAGGCGCCCGACTGCCAGTCCTCGACGTTGCCCATGGTGACGAGGGCGCGCACCGCCGGCTCCGGGTACGGGTTGTTGGGGTCCGTCTGGCTCTGCTGCGGGTACAGGTGCCAGTAGACCTGGGCGCCCTGCTGCTCGGTGGCGACCAGCAGCTTGGCGTAGTTGACGTAGTCCTGCGACAGCGCGACCGTGGCCCAGAGCAGCGCGCCGTAGTAGCCGTTGACGGCCTCGCCCGTCGACTCCTGGTCCCGGCTGCCGGCGCCGTTGGCAATGCCCGAGGCCCACGAGTGGCCGGCGAACCAGTCGCGGCAGCGCGTGACGGGGAAGTAGGGGTCGTTGGGCGACGGGTTGATGATGTCTCGGGCGAACCAGTTGATAAAGTCCTTGTGCTGCGCCAGCCAGTTGGCGTCGTACTTGGCAATGACGGCCGCGACATACAGGAAGTAGCCGTAGTGGAAGTGGTGGTCGTTGTAGTAGCCGTTGCCAAAGTCGATGCCCGAGTTGGTCGCGCCGGCCTTGTCGATGACGCCGCCCCACGACGTCTCGTACGCGGGCGAGGCTCCCGTGCTGGGGGTGAACCAGTTCTGGAAGCTGGTCTTGAGGTAGTTTGTCACCGTGGGGATGAGGTCGGTACGGCCAACAGCCTCGCTGTGAGTGAGCATAGTTAGTTGATGAGAACGCAGAGAGAACGGGGGGGTTGACAAAAGAGTTTCTTACGCAATGAGGGCAAGACGGGCCTGAGCGGCAAGGCTGCCTCCCCAGTAGTAGAACTCGTTGGGGACGGGAGGGGTGGAGTTTGCGAGCAGGCCAATCTCATACTGCAGCCCCTGGATGACGGCCGAGCTGCAGGAAGAGTCGAGCGCGCGGGGAGGGTTCCAGGTGATGCTGCTCAGGTTGTACAGGAGCTTCCACTGGTTGCCGATGATGGGGTACATGTATCCCTTGGTGGTGAGGTAGCTCAGAGACGAAGTGGCAGGCTGGTTGGCGCCCTGCAGAGACAGACGGTGGTGCGGCCAGGTCAGCATCAGCAGCTGGCTGCCATCGCCAACGGTGTTGTAGTTGAAGATGAGCGTGCCGGTGGTGTCGGTGAAGCTGTAGTCGAGGCCGACGCCGGTGGGATAGACGCTGTAGTGCTGGTCGAGCAGGGCCTTGTGGCCGGCCTGGGTGAGCCTGACGAGACGGAGCACGCCGTTGTAGGTGCCGGTGGCCTTGATGGTGCCCGTGGCGCTGTTGGTGGCGGTGGCAGTCAGGGAGATGGACGAGAGGGCGTAGATCACGTAGGTGGTGCCGGTGGTGTCGACGACGGTGAAGGAGGTGCCAGTAGCAGTGACTAGGGGGGGAAGGGGGTGCGTGTTAGTCGTCGA